CCCAGTCATGCGACGTCCTGATTTTTTCAGGACGGCGTCCCCGGAAGTCCGGCCCTTTGGACCGGCTCTTCATCCTGAGTCGTCTTCTGACGCTCCCGAGGCTCGGCGAGGGCCCCCAGGGCCCGACACCAGTGAAAAACCGCCCGCCCTGATCTTTTCCACGACGCGATCATGTCCGAGGAGGTGCTGTCATGACCGTGCCGGCGCCCAGCGCCGCGGGCGCCGCGCGGGCGCCTCCGGCGCCCGGCGGCCTGCGCCCCGCCAGCGGGCGGCTCGCCGGCTGGCGCCGCGCCAGGGCGGCGGCGGGCGGAGCGGCGCGGGCGCGCGGGGGCGGCCGGGGTGCCGGCGGCTCGGGGAGGGGGCTCCTAACCGGGGGAGCGCAGGACTCGAGTGCGCTGGAGCTCCCGGGCTCTGCCTCCTCCTCCTCCTCCCCCGCGCCTCCCTCCATCCCTCCTCCTCCCCTCCATCCTCCCCCCTCCCCTCCCCTCCCCCCTCCCTCTCCTCCCCTCCTCCCTCCCCTTCCCCTCCTTGTTCTCCCTCCTCCTCCTCCCTCCCCTTCCCCTCCCCCTCCCCTCTCCTCCTCCCTCCCTCCCTCTGCTCCTCCTCCTCCTCCTCCTCCTCCTCCTCCTCCTCCTCCTCCTCCTCCTCCTCCCCCTAGCGCCGCCATTCTGGTTCAAGGCTGTGAGCCTGTTTTGCGACCGCGAAGCCACTTGATCGGCACATGCTCTCATTATCTGTGGCATTTGACTAGCAGCAGATGATGATGATGATGATGATGATGATGATGATGATGATGATGATGATGATGATGATGATGATGATGATGATGATGATGATGATGATGATGATGATGATGATGATGATGATGATGATGATGATGATGATGATGCTGATGCTGATGATGATGATGATGATGATGATGATGATGATGATGATGATGGTGATGATGGTGACGTACACCTTAGCGATTATTTCTTTCAACTGCTTGTATGGAGCACAAGCTAGGCTAGATAATATACGTACAGAGACTCCCAACTTCGGCATGATAGGACTGCAGGGCACAGGATCGAAGGCGATGCTCCAGGATATATAGGATTGCGCTTATTGCAGGATGGAGAGCCACGAAGTCCAGCACTGGAAGCGCAGGATGCACATTCCTCTTGCCCCCGAGATGGCCACAGAAGACGATTCGACGGATAGACACACCGCCAGTTATGTTACACGGGCGGGGCATTGGGAGTAAATTTTCGGTTCAAAAGGCATCTCCTTTTATGCTCTCACGCTGTATTTCCCGCCCAGGCCCTCGGACCGTACGTCGGCGCCAAAATATTTATCGTGCTGTGAGAAGTTGAGTAAATGGGCCTCAATGATGATTCGACAGGCTCCCCATGCTGCAATTGTGTCCTTTATGGCTGATGTTAACGACGGGATGGGACTAAGGAGCAATGATGGACAATGGATCAATATTGGTGTGGAAACACTTGGATACGGAGTATCGCATGAGAAGCATATGTGGGGAGCTGGGCGCAGAGCACGTGAGCTGATGGAGGAACGTGGGGTTTTTCTTCTTCTGCTACTACTGCTACTACTACTACTACTACTACTACTACTACTACTACTACCACTACTACCACTACTACTACTACTACTACTACTACTACTACTACTACTACTACTACTACTACTACTACTACTACTACTACTCAGCGAAGAGTATCACATACTCTGTTTGATGCGCATGGGAACTCGAGTATGATCGATCATGCTTTCTTTTGCGATCGCTGGCAGCTAGGATCAAGTCTCAAGGTCCTCCGAAACACATGGGTCGTCGATTGCAGTGCATGCCCGACGCTCAATTGCGATATCGCACTCCGCTACATGTGAGTGTGGAGATCAGCGTGGATGTCGAGAAGAAAGCACAGGCAGCATGGACAGCCCCAAATGGAGACCAGTACGTACCTGTGAAACGGGATGGGGGCAAACTGATGCGTGCCCTTTAGGGATCTCATGAGCGACGCACGTTTCCGACTGCAGTGGAAGCTAGTTCGGCCGAGGTGGAAGCTGTTAGTGGCAAGGATTCTGCTGGGGCGATACTGAAATGTTTGGATGGTGCGCTTCGAGAAGACGGGTGAAAGTTGTTCTCCAAAGGCCCCCCCCGCACACACACGCGGGCGCGGATCCTCACGGGGCGGAGAGGCTCAGACTTCTTGAACGTTGGCGTTCTTTCAGAAAAAGGACTGCATGAGTGCCCCCCGCCAAACTCGAGACTTGAGTCCAGAGGCTCGAAGAAACAACCAGGACGTGTACCAGGGCTCGCAGTCAGTGGCTCAAGATGAAGAGCGAGGCCTTGGCGGAGGGAAATTACGAAGCCTGGCGGCGCCGCGACCCTGCGTCCGCGCGCAGGTTGAGCCTGGGGTTAGCAGGGGGCCGCCATGGCAGCGGGGGGCGCGATTTTTCAGTCCAGGGTGCGCTGCCAACGCAGGCAGAATGGTTTGCGACTTGGTATAAAACCAGGAGGGGATGGGGGGATGCTGGCGACTCGGTTGGAGTGGGGGGGCCAGGGGAGGGGTCGCGAGCACTTCGAGGGGCCGCCAGCTCCGCCTGCGCATCGACAGGGGCGCGCGGCGCAATCGCGCAAGGGCGCCATGGGCGACCTTGTCTTTTCCAGGCCTTCCTGAAGACGGCTTCTACGAGGAAAGGGGTCCCATCGGTGGTCGTTGCCTGTTGAGTTGTGAGGTCTTGGGGTCGATGGGCCTCCTGGGGGGGGGGGCTCTCGTCGTTGCGCCGGGCTCGGATCGAAACTCCCGCCGACTGGGGCGAGGAGGTTAGAAGCTGGCTGCTCAGTGTTTTTTCCTGACCCACCAGACGGGCCCCCTCTCGAGTTTGTGGTCCTGCAGCCAAGGCTTTGCTCGGCAGAAATGCGCGTTTCCCGGCCCTGCGGGCCGTGGAGTGGCGCGCGGTCTGGGCCCGATCGGGAAGTCACGTTTGGCACGTGCGATGAAACGAGGCCCGCCTTGCATCCACTCCGAGATGGATCGTGGATTTCCTAGGAGGAGAAGGCGCGAAGACGCTGTGTCCAGTAATCTTTGCACGTCGTGGCGTCTGAACAAAGCTGGCATCTATTGGATAGACTCGCTCAAAGATTTAAGCAGTGCGTTCGCGTCCCCAGCTTGTCCGGCTGTGGATGGCGCTGTCCTGGGAATGGCTCGAGGATCGGAGATGCGTTTCTGTCGGCAGCGCCATGAGCTTACGTGCGCATCCATCCCTGCAGAGGAAGGCGACCTTGTTTTTCGCGCAGGCTGCGGCGTGCTCCAAGGGGATCCTTTCGCTGTTGCGTCGTCTGTTCACGTCTTTTGCCCGTCGGTCGACCGTTGGATCTCGAGGTGTCAGGGGGGGGGATCCCATGGAACAGCTACTGTCGGCAGAGCGTGAGGTTAGAACCCCAAAGAGCGTCTATCTCGGGCAAGCGAAGTTGGTTGCTGATCTTCTTAATCAAGCTGTGCTCGGACCACGCTTTCCATTTGATATGGCAGAAAGCACCCTTCGACGCAATCGTGTTTGGCTTGCCGAGGAGCTCGAGAGGATTGGTCTCGCGCGGAATCCAAAATGGCGGGAGGCCATTTTTCAGTCCCACCTTCGGCGAAGCGGAGGGTTGCTCATTTGCTGCGTAGCCAAGCGCACGGCTGCGGAGGGTCGGTCAGATATCTAGGACCTCGTCTGATCGCCACGCAATCCTTCCATATTGAACTAGGCAGACGGATCCAAGCTGCGAAGACGGCGCACTTTCGCATGGTGCGTTTTTGGCAGATGAATAATACTCCTTATCGCTGGAAGCTGCGCTCTGTTTTGCCATATGGTTAGTTCCGCCTTGTCTGCAGCCGATTGTTTGATGCCAAGTGGTGGTCAGCTCTGCAAGCTTGAGTTGGCCGTGGCTGGGCTGTGCAGACGTGCCATGAGAGGTCAAGCGAGCTGGCAAGATGCGCGCCACGTTCGCTGTCTGTCCTCCCAGCAGGTGCTTGACTACTGGAATGCCAGACCTCTAGGTACTGAACTAAGAGTGCGTAGGCTGAAGTGGTTTCAAAGCATGTTTGCCTGCCCTGGATCTCACAGACAGCTGACCGGAGCCTGATCAGGAATATTCTTAGAAGTTTTTTATATCTAGATATATTCTGTGTGATTTCTGTTCGCTTCGCCTTAATGCGAACCCGTGGGCTCTGAGAGTTCGCGAGCACGTTGGGCAGCTTGTGCCCGAGGAAGCAGATAATTTATGGCGCGAGGTCCACGGTAGGGTGACTTTTAGTTGTCGGTCAGGCCTTGCTAATCACATCCGTATTGTACATAACAGTGTACATGTATCGCATGCCATCGCTATAACGAATCAATGCGCGCTGTGCAAGGAGGTCTTCGTGCAAGGAGTTCTTCGGCGAGAGGTTGACGGCGTGCAATCATCTAGCAGGTGCCCTGCAGCGTGGGCGTTGCCTACGAAACAAAGCATCCACTCTGGCGGAGTTTGTGGTACCCGAGAATGTCCAGGGTAGAGTTTGCGGCTCGACCTTCGCGAAGCTGACTGAATGCAATCGGCGCGTTCTCAGTCGCCTGCAGCGAGCCTCCGCGCGTGGAGCTGGGCGCAGCAATGTTCGGCGAAGAGGGGCTCCCCCCTCTGGGCTGGCGCGGTCATCGCTCCAAAATGTCCAGCAGCAGACGCAGTCGAAAGCGCGGGGGCCCAGGCGAAGCAGGCGAAGGAAATCGACAGGAGGAGAGAGAACCGAAAAGTTTTCTCTCCGCAAAGTGGCGGCACTGGCGTCGGTTACTGCTCGTCCGGCGCGCTGTCGACATTCCTCGCGCGGGACGAGACGTGCCCGGCGTAGTGCGGTCTCGCGGCCAACCAGTTCTACGCTGACGCGGTGAAGAAGATCCACGAGCAAGATGCGGGATGATATGTGGATCTATCCAGTCCAGGGCCGCCGTTTATCACAGTGTTCTTCCTCGCGGTCCGAGCCATGGCGGCGCGGAGATCGGCGCAGGTTCAAGCGGCGGCCAACGCGTTCTTCCAGAAGGTTCTCAAAGACCAGATGCCACAGTTCATGGCGTCCTTCGTCAGGCAGTACACAGTGAAGGTCCCGAGTGGACCTGGCAGCAAGCAGATGCAGGGCCATGTGAAGTTGACTCGCGCTGGACACTGCCTGTGCCTCTGGATGCTGGATCCAGAGGCACAGGCAGTGAGCTCACTGATGGACATGGCGATGGCCGAGTGCAAAGCAGTACAGCTAGTAGGAGCGTCGCTGACGGGGCCTCTGGAGAGGCAGGTCGCGACGTCGCTCGAGCGCGTAGGAGTATTCCTTCGGCTTTCGCAACGAGCGCTCGATTTCGAGAGCTGGTGGCTAGAGGGGTGATTGCCCAGCCAACCAGCAATTTTTTGGTCACTCTGAGTAAGGGGGAGAAGGGCGCGGGCGGGAGTGGTCGGGGTGGGAGTGGTCGTCGTCGTAGTGGGCCGGGGAAGGGACCCAAGTTTTGAGATGCTGCTAGCGCCAGCGGGGTCAACGCGTGGACATCCGCGCCAAGTCGTTCCCCGCGGCCTAGTGGCTATGTGGCCGCCGCAGGGCCACAATTGAAAGTCGATAGAGAGAGAGAGAGAGAGAGAGAGAGAGAGAGAGAGAGAAAGAGATATGGCATTTTCCGCCGCATAGGACCAACATCTGTTTTAATCTTGGGGGGTGTGCCGTGCTGTGCAGCTTCCGTGTCATACCCTGTGTTACCTCCTCTCCGTACTTCGAGGCGTGGCTTCTGTCGCGTTGCAGCGAAAGATCGATGAACTGGCCCCGGATGCTTTCGACTCGAATCGAATCCTCCTCCTCCTCCTCCTCCTCCTTCTGTGTCCTCCTGTCTCCTCAGGCGCGGGCCATACAGCCTGGAAGTATTTCCTCCAGTCGGGGGAACGTGCGGCTCGAGTGCGCCGGAACTCGGGTTTACCGACGCTTTTTGGCGAACGCGTCCCGGGTTTTGACAATCTAGTTTTCGTGGGATGGCTGCACCGGGAGGTCTCGTCAAGTTTCAGATTGGGTATCGTCATTTTCATGATGGCCCCCGTCAGGCCAACCCGAGGCCCCCGAGCCCGAGTCTTTCGTCTCCCCGACCAAACTCGTAAATTTTGATACGGGGGTCAATTCAGGGGCAACGATAAGCGGGATAGGCATAAGGGCGGATGGATCTTTCGACCCCCAATTGCCCCTTCGCCGATAGGGGCCCGATAGCACCCCCCTTGTCCAGGTGCGGATTCATTTTTGGCGGCCTATCGCCGATCTATCGGCCATGTATCGCCGACTCCAGGTCGACGCGCCCCTCCTAAGTCGGAAGCCTTGAGACCCAGACCCCCTCGAATCAGGACAGACATCACGGCGGGAGGTTTTGTATTATTTTCTGGCTTCTGGGGCCTTCACCGGGCCTCGGGACCGTCAACAAAACGATTCGGGGTGAAAATCTGGTCCCAGGGAGTGGGTCCAGACCTCAGGGGATCGTCGTTGTGAAAATCATGGCGTCGAAGGTCTGCCTGGATGGGGATCGTGTCGATGAGAGCGGGGGTCAGCCAGAGATCTGCCGAACGGGGGTTAGCGCAGAGACCCCCCCACCCCCTCCTCCCACGCACGAGTTTTTGGTGTGGTGGTCCGAGGGGTCCAGATGGCGGTGTTCTCAATGCTTGAGGCGTGGGGGTCCCGGGCCCCGTGGGGCGATGCAGGGGGCTGAACCCCGCGCTTCTTGGTTTAGTCTCCGATTATGGCCGCGGAGGTCACGGGCTCCACATGTCTAGGCGGCCGGCCCCGATCTCCCTGTACTTTGGTGCACCGCGCGTGGAGGATTTTTGCTACCGCGAAGGTGCGGCCCTAAGCTGCTGGGTCGCTGTCGTCCGTCCCGCCAGTGCAGCGAGAGACGGGAATTTGCGAACGGCGTGCTCCCTGGGACAGGTCCGCGTTGGAGTCTCCCGCCTGAGCCTCTCTCTCGCGTTTGGTGGGGAAAGTAGGCGCCGGGACTGAGTCAGACTGATTCCAGGCGTCCGCCTTTTCCGCTTTCTGCCATGTGTGCTTGCGCGTTGTCAGACTGGAACTGAGAACCGAGAACTGGTCAGCCAGAGCGCCAGATCTTGCGGAATCCTGCAGAGCCAGGGGTGCACTGACCCGGGTTAGGGCGCAAGATCCTGCAGGATCCTGCAGAATCCTGCAGGGTCCTGCAAGGCCTGACTGACCCGGGTTTGCATTGAACCTGGGTCAGTGCGTCTCTGAGTCTTAATCCCACCAGCCCTTTAGGGCGTATGTGGTCTAAGGAGGTTCCTCTTCCAACCCCTTTCTTCCCCTTCGGGGAGTGGTTTATCACTGTTCCCTATTAATATACACCCCCCCTCCCCAGGCGACTGGGAGCCAACCAGGAACAATGCGGCCCCCCCCCCCATCCCTGGTAAAGAACAATGAAAAACACACTCTGCCTCCAAATTCGGAGCATGCGCACCGAACCCGATGCGGCCTACCCCCACCATCCCTGTCACAAAAACAATACGGAGTACACTTGGCGGCGGCGGCGGCTGCGGCGGCGGGCAGCGCGGTGGCGGCTGCAGGGGTGGCGGCGGCGGTGGCGGCGGCGGCGGCGGGGGCGTCGGCGGCGTCGGCGGCGGCGGCGGCGGCAGCGGTGGCGGCGGCGGCGGTGGGCTTCGGCGGCGGCGATTCGGCAGCCGGGGCTGCGGCTGCGGCGGCGGCGGCGGCGGCGGCGGCGGAGGCGGCGGCGCGGCGGCGGATTCGCCCCCAGTAGCTGCCCATCCAGAGACGACTGCTGAATCTGTTGCGGCTCTGGCCAGGCTCGGGTGCTACGTATGTGTTGGGAGGGCGGGTGGGAGTGAGCGAGACGGCTTGCGGGCGGGGAGGGAGTCTTGATCACTGTTCCCTATTAAAATATACCCCCTCCCCCAGGCCACTGAGCGCCAACCCAGGTCCATGCGGGCATCCCCCCACCATCCCTTGTAACAAAGCGGTACAAAACACATTCTGTCTCCAAATTCGGAGCATGCGCAGCGAACCCGATGCAGCCTCCTCCCACCATCCCTGTCGAACAAACAATACAGAGTACACTTGGCGGCGGCGGCTGCGGCGGCTGCGGCGGGGGCAGCGGCGGCGGCGCGGCGGTGGCGGCGGCGGGGGCGGCGGCGGGGGCGGCGGCGGCGGCGGCGGCGGCGCGGCGGTGGCGGCGGCGGCGCGGCAGCGGTGGCGGCAACGACTGCGGCGGCATCGGCTGCGGCGCGGCGATTTGGCGGCGGGGGAAGGCGGCGGCGGCGGCGGCGGCGGGCAACGCGGTGGCGGCGGCAGCGGCGGACAGCGGCGGCAGCGGCGGCGGCGCGGCGCCGGTGGCGGCGGCTGGCGGCGGCGGCGGCGGCGGAGGCGGCGGCGGCGGCGAATTGGCCCCCAGTAGCTGGCCGGCCATCCAAGGGCGACTGCTGCATATGCTGCGGCTCGGGCCAAGCTTGCTTTTCGAAGGAGTGATCAACCGCGTAGAATTATGCAGTTGAAGACATTCAGGTGAGGAGTTTTGAGAGGTCATAGACCCGCGCTAGTCGTTTCAGAAAGTTGCGTGATAACAACCGTCATCCTTCTTGCAACACGCCTGTATGCTCGCGGAGTCTCAGGGGTCGCTGGAAGTCTCTTGGTCCGTGGGGCCCGCCAGTCGCCAGCGCGTGTTCGTTTACTTGGTGGCCATTTCACGGATCGAATCCGCCGTGGAAAGGGCGTCGTCGCCCAGGTGGACCCCGTGGCGCCCGAGGTTGGCAATGTTTTCCTTGGCGAGGGCTTGAAAAGCTTCCAGGGCTTTTGCCTTGGGAACGGGTGGGGTCTTAACCTGGCCGTGCTTGGAGAGGATGACCGAACCCGTTGACATTTTGAGCATAGCTGGCAATTTATGGACCCTCGCTCTGCTGACGTTCTCCGGATCCTCGCGCGGTCGGTCTCGATGGCGCAAGTCGCGGCAAAGGCATGGTTGCGGACGTTGTACAAGAGCAGTTTTTGGAGTCCGAGTTCATGAGATGGAGTGGTGCCGCGCGTTTTCTTGTCATATCGGCGCGGTTCGCGCGGGAGTCGCCATCGCCCCTTGCAGGGGTGAAACCGTTGGGCATCTTGTTTTTGAACGTAGCTGTTGTGGCAAAATTTGTCGTATCATCCAGAAGGCCTGCTGCGCGTGTGCCGCGCGAAGGAATGCGCCACCTAACCGTGCGATCAGCTTGCGCAAGCGTTTTAAAGCCTTGGATCGATGCGACCGTCACACCCTCGCATATGGCATCGGCAGCCTGCACCCTGCATTCTTGAATTTGAGCCAGGTGTTTCCGTATCAATGCCATGCTGAGGAGAAAAATTCGCCCCCCGGTAGCGGACGCAGCCGTTGAGTATATGAGCGCCGCCATGTTTCTAGTTTCCGAAACGTGCGTCCGTCATAATATTGAACCCTGGCCCCAGACCTGCTGCCGTCAATCCCATGCCTGGGCTGGCCACCTACAACACCTGGGCATGACTTCTACTGCCAGAGCCAGCCGCCTATCGTGTGTTTCCGCGATCGTGCCTGGATGACGACAGTGGAGAAATTTGGAAGTTCCGAGCTGCATAATCGGATGGTCGGGTTCTGGAGTTGGGAAAGAGCGCGTTCTGTGGTCGCTTGGAGGGGGGGGAGGGTTGGAACATGACCCCCCCCTCTGGATGGAGGGGGGGAGGGGGGTTCGAACCCCCCCCTCCCGTGACGGAAAGGGGGTGTGTGGGGTTCGAACACCCCTTCCTTCCCCCCACCTTCCTCCCTTACTTCTCCTCTCTCCCTCTCGTCGGGCCGGCGCCTGCGTCGACGGCGGCTGGCGGCGGCGGCGGCGACGACGACTTCCTTTTCTGGGCCTGCGCCGGCGCCTGCGGCGGCGGGCGGCGGCGGCGGGGAGAGTCGACGAGGATGACGGCGACGACGATGACGACGACCACGACGCTCCGCCACAGTGCTTTGGTTTTGGGTCAGAGTCCTAATGGATGCCTCTTGGGGTCTCGTCGGAGGGCTCTCGCGGGCCTCTGAAGGGCATTTGTGCAGCCTCCTGGTCGCCTCTTGGGCGTTTCTTGGGGCCTCTCTGAGGTGGTGGTGGTGGCGGTGGGCTGTGGTGGCGGTGGTGGTGGTTGTGGCGGTGGTAGTGGTGGTGGTGGTGGTGTCGTGGTTTGTGGTGGTGGTAGTGGTGGTTGTTGGGGTGGTTGTGGTGGCAGGTTGTGGTGGTGGTGGTGTTGGTGGTTTGTTGTGGTGGTGGTGGTGGTGG